CTTGATATGCGTGGTGCTGACCATTATTCCACGCGTTTCAAGGCGGTTCACTACATCTGTCGCTGTTGTAGAGCTATTGTTCTTATAACACCTCTCAATTTCCATAAGAATTTCATCGTAATGAACTGAAAAAAAACGTTTTTATTCGAATAATAAATGATATGGGAACAATTCACGAACCGCGAAGGCCTCGTGCTGTTAGAGATTTTTTGTGGGGACGCAGGCCTTCGAACCTCTTTATGAATCGAACAACCGCTTGATAATTTAAGGACGGTTCAATCTGAAACCATTCCACAGTTTGAACTTCAAGCATTTTAGCACGATGAAAGAAAGACAAAACTCGCCTTCTGCAGATACAAAAATACTGAACGAATTGATTTTCCCTGTTGTCTCAGCTCCACGATAGTGGTGATATGGTTGAAAAGTTTCTCACTCATCTAGAGTCGAGGATTCATATCCGAAGGGTAGAAGAGCAGTCATTAATGAACTGTGAACTAATTAAAGAGATATAGTAAATAAAAAGAACGAGTGTTGCGGCCGCCAGTGGGCAGAAAGCCTTGTGCTAATGAGGTGAGAAGAAAGGCGGAACCTCCTAGCGGCCTAGCACTTCCATCGGAGTCCTTCTTCGAGTCTTCAGGCCACACTTGAGGATAAACGTGTTGCATATCCATGTGACCCTCAGTGACCCTCTGCCAAACAAAGGGCTGAAAGGCTGATATAAAAACTCGGAATTGACGGTTTGGGGAGGTTGCTTCATCAACATGACATCATTCGCTGTAGTCTTCTTTCCGTCCACTCGCACAAGTGATATTGTGCCAACTTCTTCTATCCCTCATGGAGCGAAGTTAGGTGAAACTACTAGAGTCCGCTGGGAAAGGCAGGAATTATAAGGGCAAGGTATGTTCATACCAATTTTGTTTCCTCTTAAAAGTGTGAGGTTTATCTGAGTTCAGATCCTCTTTGTTGGCCCGAAAGAGATTTGCGAGATGAAAATGTCTTCCGTTAGTGCTGACGGCGAACTCGTTGAGGATGTCTTCGACTTCTCGCTCGAACCAACAGTAGCGGAACCGTTAGTAGAACAAGGTCCTACACCGAGGGAAAGGGAATTCATGACGCGGCAGATAAGAATGGAGGAAGACATCAGTCTCATTAAAAATATTCTGGTTCAGATGTAAGTGAAGCTGAGCAATTAATTAGATTCCGAAGTTTGCATACTATTTTCCTTCAAGGAATTCCGGGTCGTCCTCTCAGGGAACAAAAATCGAAAGGGTAGAGCAGATAGGCAGGGAACTCTTGAGGAGAAACCCACCGAAGCAAACACAAGGTTCATTGACGATAAACACCTTCCTATATCTTCTCGTACTTGAAAAACTGCGTTTCGAAATAGCAATTTTCAGATAATCTAGAATACGTGTACGCAAGCGCCAAGTCTGTGGCCCAGTTGAGAGAGCTCAAGGGCCAAAACAAGAACCTCTTCGTGTTAGCTCTAGAGAAGTTGGTTTACAGCGACGACCCGGCGGAGATGGACCTCCCAGTAGATGACCGCATTCTAACAAAAGATCGGGTTATTTTTATCAAACAGGTGATTTTTAGTGCATTTAATTACTGTTTGTCAAGGTATTGCATAAGCGCCTTTCAGCTTAAGTCTACCTATTGACCGCTGAAGCCATCAGACTCAGAATAACGTGGAAATTTCAGTGCCTTTTCAAATATTACGATGTAGCCGACGACGATATATGGAGAAGGGCCAAGGACGCCTTGAATAGCCGCGTTAGGAGGCACAGAAAGGCCCTGAAAGACGCACAAACAAGGTCGCAGAATAGGGAATCTCCAGAGAGCGAGCAGCCCCACCGTCTAGATTTATATGATTGAATTATCCGCACTTATTTTAATATTTAAATTCGTAGACCTGAATTATTGGTTTATCCGGAGTTTATTCAGTACATGCCAGTTTCGTTACTGCCATTTTAATAAATACTGATCCATGTAAAATATTTTGTTCAGCACAGTTAATACAGTGTGGCAGACAATCAATTGACTTGTAGCACTTACTTCATCACTTCCTTCAGAAACACATTCACGACTTCCTTGAGCGGGAGCTTTTCCGGATTGGGAAAATAATACACGAATAATCTTAGATAAAACAGCTTGATTGATATGCTCCTGCTGATTCTCCTTCCTTTTTTCTTTTTTTCCTGGTTCACGCTGGACACATTGAATCCAGGAATCTATAAATTCACCATATTGTAATACATTGGTCTTTTCGTATAAACAAGTAAACATGTTACACACCTGATTAGCTACTGGGGATTCCTGCACCATCACTATCAGTTGTAACCTCAGTTACAAACTTTCACTAACCTATAACAATAACATTAGTTACAATTCTTTTTCTTACTAACTTCTATTAAGATTACGAACGACTAGCGAGACAATTAATTCTTATTAAATTACAAACATCAATAAAGAAGGGCTTATAGAGCATTTTTTAACTTATTCAGGAAGTTAGTTAAGGTAGTAGCATGCACCTGTACATCACTAGCCTTAAATAAGTGATTTCTCACTAAAATCGATAGATTAGAACATTTAAAACGCTAATAGTAACATTAAATTGGAAAAAAAACTGGATTTATCGATTCTCCGTTAACTAGTTCATAAGTAGTGCGGATGCACAAACATAGTAGCGACACACCGTAACATACGGTATGGGCATTTATTATTCTTTATTTCACTAACTGCTAATCCTTTCGCTATTCAGTTTATTGGAATATATGGGGAATAATTATAAGATAATCTTACTCTACAATAGCCTATGGATAAGGGTAGGAATTCTTACACGCCGCTAAACTTACACGGGAAAAAACGGCGGACGAGTTTCCGGACGAGTTTCGCGCCAATACTGTTTGTATCCTAGGTGGACCGTGCATTTCGTTGTGATGAGGCGTACTTTCCTCTAAATATCAATCGGATCGGGGATCACACTTCAGAGTTTGTGCACAGAATGAGTGGGAAGACCCCAGCTGGAAGGAAAAGTCAAGTCCGCCGTAGCAATCGCATAAATCCATGAGCGACCAAGAAATTCCCCCTGTCGTACACATTTTCCATGTCCTCTTCAAGAACAGTAGACTGAAGATTCGTGTATGTCAACACATTACGAAATTCCACAATACCAAGTTAGAGTTGGCATCTAAAGGTAATCGGTAGTGACTTCTACGACTATTACTTAAACTAAGAAGTCGCTCTCGAGTACATAATCAAGACATCACAGCTCGTATCGTGATTCATTACTGTAAAACTGCGACCTCTTCCAAGCAACACTAATGATTTGTAAGCC